TTCGAAAGCCACGTATCCAAATACGCCTCCCCAGAGCCCTAGAGCTCGGTTGTAATAGTGCGATCGGATTACCGGTGTCCAAAACCAAAAAAATTGCCGCCAAATAGGATCAAGTGACTCATGCTACAGGGCACGAAAGGACGCTTTTCCAGAGTACATTGATGGATGCTTGATCGTATACCTACTAGGTATATGATCAAACTAAACGAGCAGCTAGGTATTAACCTAGCTGCTCGTTTAGTCCACGGCGATGTCCGGCAAAGGATTCATGTGGATTACCCTCGTCTGAACCGACCCGAAAGTATCAAGAGTTGTACATTCTAATTGCACCACAAACGAGGCTTATAGTCGCCTGCTATTCATCTGCTACTCAGTTTTTTGTCATAGTGCTTGAGTTGCGAGTGGAGTCCACCGCAGGATGGATCTCTCCAAGCGCAGCTCACTCCCTACGACCAAGTGCTGGTGCCAACTCCCACGCATTCATGCCACGCATTCAGGCGTAGCAATACGTATGCGAACTCTCTGTAAAGAAGATAACGCGCAACACGTTGATATATATAGTATAGTGCTTGAGTTCAATGGATAGTGTATTGTCTATACTAGTACTAGTACGTGTTTTTGGGAACGCATTTGCTATTGACGACGATAAGGCTGAGGGTGCGTTCGGTTCGCCGCGTACTTTCAAAGCACGTATCGCAAATCCGCGTAACTTCGATTGCATGGTTTTTCGATACGTGCTTTTTGTTACGCGGATTGGAAAAATCGCGTTCGGTTCATCAATGTACGCCGACTTTCGGACTTTAAGGACAGCGCATGGATGGCCCTGTGCCGCGACCCGGCTGGCAAGCGTGGGTCCTCGATGAGATGAGTGGCGTCGTACATCAGAGGCGCTTGCGACGTCTATCGATGGCGCATACCTTCTATGCGCTCCTCCTCCTCCCACGTCTCGTGTCGTCATCGCTAGCGGCTGCTTAGTGGCGCTATTAGATAGCCGGCGCCCGACCTCGGTGATAGCGTCTGCCATGTCGATAAGGAAGGAACACGAGCGCGCTCTGCGTGTGCAGCTGAAGCATCGCAAATCGTATCTAGCGCGCCCGTCCTCCGCGGCGGCGCACGCTCCCTGGTCCTTCCAGGCTTGTCTACTTGGCGCGCTGAGGCCATGAGCCTTCATAATTCTAGACAGACGCGTCCTTGGCCACTGAAATGATCCCAGCGTTGCGGCTCCGCGCATAGAGCGTGGATTCGAAAATGCAATTTTATTCAAATCAATTCATTGCAAAATCACCCCGTGCTTAGGGATGCCGCAAATCAG